ATCTCCATATGATTGACATGTGATATATGATTGATGTGATCTCTGTATGATTGACATGTGATCTCTGTGTGATTAACATGTAATCTCTGTGTGATTAACATGTGATCTTAATTTTCTGTTTATAGATTGGTTATAGGATTTTTACAGATGCGGGTTTGTTTGAGACATTTCGTATCCCAACCAAAGAATTTATGAATTATTTTCAAAAATTAGAAGATGGTTATAGGGAAAAACCATGTAAGTATGAGGGTGAGATATTGTAGTGAATGGCATGAACACTCCAGTCTTTCAATACACTTCAATATTTAAATTGTTGTCACTGATTTCTGTAATCATATATGCTCATGAATTACTTCCAAAAATTCAAACAACAATTTTGACTAATAACATCTTTTTTAATAAAATATATTTAATAGCATTATTATAAACAAAAATCATTATGAAACATATTGATATCATACCAACTTGGTTTCATCTGTTCAGACTGAAAAAGGCATCCGTAATTGCCTTATGGTCTAATACAGCAGAAATTTTCTGTAAAAATTATTACCACTGTATTATTACAACTTTATAGCTTGTTACCTTTAACATTCTTCTTTAACATTCTTTAACATTGGAATGAACAACAAGCATATCTGTGTTCTCCATCTGTCTTTAGTGACAATGTTTGCACCTATATTTTGTCGTAACAAACATGTTTGTGGTTTCAGATCACAATAGAATCCATGCGGGAGATGTACTACATGCTGTGTATTATTTGTCAACTCAACCTATACCCGGATTTACACAGGTCAATCCTGAGGATACTTCAGATAGTCTACATAAAAATGGATCATCCAGTGATACAGGTAAAGTCATATCTATCAATGATTCTAACCTTGTATATATTATCTCTAGAAATTAGGATTCTTAAAAATAAACTTTCTTTATAAATTTGTTGCATGTTCTTTATGACAAGTAAGTTTGGAAACAAAGCTGAAATTTGTATTTTCATATAAATTTTCAATTTATAAATCACCTGTTTCTATGACTACATATTAATGCATAAAGAGTAGACATTCATATGCTGGCATGTAATCGATAAATCCAAGTTATGTTGAATTATTTTCCTGCATTTAGATTCTGATAGTGGTGGTCCATCAGGCCATACGCCGACTGTCACACCAAGAGCCAGTTTTACAGCAGATGATAGCTACGGTATATTGGCTGGCAATCTGCCTGCATTGGAATTGATGGCGTTATATGTAGCAGCCGCAATGCATGATTACGACCACCCTGGGCGAACCAATGCATTCCTAGTAGCAACCAGGGCATCTCAGGTACATTTTTATATTGTTCATATTGAATTTGAAGGTTCCAAAGCACATGGATATATGGTTAAAGTGCGGGAGTCGTCACCTGCGCATGCATCAGATGGCTATGGCATGTCATTGTTTACAAACAAGTGTCTACCCATGAGCCTTTTTAGTCCCCGTTCAGACGCAGTCCGAAAACGGGGACTTATGTTTTGACCTCTGTGTGTCCGTGCGTGCGTCTGTGCGTGCGTCCGAACCTGTATCTTAGAAATGCCTGGACCAATCACAATCAAACTTCATACATACATCATACATGATATCATACATATGCACGTCAATTTGTTTCACGATCTGATTCAAGATGGCCGAATGGCAGCCATTTTTGTGCTAAAAATCATCAAAATCAAGCATTTCCCGGCTGTTTACAGATGGATTTTGTTCAAACCTTGTATATACGTTGGACATTATAGGACCTTGAGGAATATCATTTTGTTTTACGATCGGATTCAAGATGGCCGAATGGCGGCCATTTTTGTGCTAAAAAATCATAAAAATCAAGCATTTCTCGGCTGTTTACAGATGGATTTTGTACAAACTTGATATATACATTAGGCATTATGGGACCTTGATGCAAATAATTTAGTTTTTTAGATAACATTCAAAATGGCCGACTGGCGGCCATTTTGTTTTAATGAATGGGCTTCTAGACCCATATTTCCAACTTGTTTTGACTGATTATGTTCAAATTTTAAAATTCATTATACATCATGTCATAGATAGACAGATATATTGGTTTGACGATCCTATTCAAAATGGCCGAATGGTTGTCATTTTTGTGCTAAAAAATCATCAAATATCAAGCATTTCTGGCATTTATGGATGGATTTCGTTCAAACTTGGTACATACATTAATAGACATTACAGGTTCCTGATGCACGTCATTTTATTTTTCAGATCAGACTCAAAATGGCTGTTCGGTGGCCATTTTGTTTTAATGAATGGATTTCCAGACCCATATGTCTGACTTGTTTTGACTGATTATGTTCAAATTTTTAATATTCATTATACATATATTCATAATGGCTGATTTTGTTTTTGACTCCCGTGTGCGAAGCACAAAAGGGAGTCTTTGCAGTTACCCTGTCTGTATGTCTGTATGTCTGTATGTATGTATGTATGTATGTCACTTTTATTGTTCCACCGTTATCTCAAGAACCACTAATCAAATTTTGGTGAAACTTGGTACATAGATGCTCTGGGATAATGCGCAGAGTTGATTAGGTTTTGGTAAAAATCTATGAATATT